AGGAACGTATTGAAGCCTCTGAGTCATGCGATCTGCTAAAGTCGACAATCGGTCTACGCCACGAGCGCTGTCACGCGCCGCCCGCTGTTGAGACGATGCAAGGTGCGTGCCAGGCCGCATGCATGTCCTGATGCAGACATTTTTCCAAACATACAAATGACCAATACTGGACAACAGGGAGAGCAGGTACCATCACCACCCACCACTCTGCGCCCCCTCACCAACATCAACACTCACCAATGAACCCCCCACCCCCCCCCCCCCCGCCCCCCCCCTGGCCGCCCGCGGCCGGCCCGCCGCCTCCGGCCTGGCCGCTCGGTCGTGCGAGCCGGGGGCAGGCCGCACGTTCCGCCACAGCTTCCGAGTCGGGGCGCGCAGCCGGGCGGGAGGGTGGCAACTTCCGTGTGACGCGCACTCCCCGCCCGAACCACGTCGCCCGCCGCGTCCTCAGGGCCGCGGACCGCTGCAGGCGGCGGAGGCACGGCGGCCGGCTCGCCCCGCCAGCCACGCGCGCCGCCCCGGGCACAGGCCGAGACGAGGCCAGCGCGGCCACCGGGCGCTGTCTTAGAACCCGGACAGCTGGGTGCAGTCCTTCCCACCGGGCCGCCGACTGCCCGTTGGGTCGGGCCTGCCGCGGGACGGACGGGACGGCCCGCTGCGCGGCTTCCTGCGGGCTCTGGAGCCCGGCCCTGCGGCCTTAAATTCCGTCTGGGGACTCTCAGCTATACTACCGAGAGTGTGACGGTCCCTTCCTCTGACGCGGCCCCGTCGGTGCGTGCGCGGCCCGTGGGGACGCTCTGCACACGCCAGTGGGCCCTGACATGCGTGGCCCGCCTGTAACTCGGGGATGGCTGAGCTCTGGAGAATATTCTTGCTTTAGGAGACCCAGAGAGCTTAGTGAGGCTGCGCCTCACTTTATCTCTCTGATATTTCTGTAGGGCTAGGTAATGGCATTACCAGGACTAGGCCCTGTTCTATTCATTACGACCCTGGGAGGGAGATGCTCTTACTGTCCCCATTCTGCACAGGTGAGGAAACTGAGGCACAGAAGGTCAAGACACTTACCCAAGGTGGTCACGGAGGGCGTGGCGAGCGCCGGGGAGCCAGGCGTCAGCCCCTGGAGCCTGGGCCTTCCGGGACCACAGGCTGCCTCTTCCCTCTCCCTAACAGGAGCTGGTTTAGGCACCTTTACTCTGCCCAGGGCTCCTTTGTGTCCTGCGCTGTTCTGTCTCCCGCCCCAGTCCTTCGCCTCTGGGGCAGAGACCTTCCTCAGAGAGAGGGCCAGGTGGGAATGTCCCTGGGGAGTTGCCGGTCACCTGCTGAATGCAGGTCCACGGCGTGGCCCGAGAGAGGAGGCCTGGGGTGGGTCAAGGTTAGGTCACCAACAAGCAAAGGAAGCAGGGCTGGCTGCTCCGCAGCTGGACGGGCATCCCACCGAGGATGGCGTCTGGCTGTGACTTCTCAGGTGACACCCTGGTCACCATGGGGGCTGACAGCACAGCCAGCAAGCGGGCGCTGGCATGTCCTCCGTGGCTGGGGCCTGAGTCTGGGCCCCGTGTCCGGGGATGGGGATCACCGTGTTGTTGAACGGTGGGAGGTGAAGGCACGCTTTCCCCCAGGGGACCCAGGTGCCAAGAAAGGGCTTTGCCGTGGCTGTGGCTGGGGCCGGAAGGGAAGCCAAACCTGACAGTTCCCTAACTCACAGAGTCTTCCGGAAGGGCTGGGAGGCGGCCAGCGTGTCTTTGCTGCTATCAAAGTGCGGCCACTGCCTCCTCCGCGTGGTGGCCAGTAGGAAATGCCTCGCTGCCGTGGGGGTTGCCGTGGGGGTTGGCACAGGCCTGGGCCGCGTCTCCTCTCTGAGGCTCCAGGGCACTGGGCCGGCCCTGCCTCCCGCCCCATCTCTCTCCCCAGCTCGGAGGAGATGGAGAATTGCTCCAGCCACCTTCTGCTCTGCCGTCTGGCCTCCCTGCTTCTCGTCCTCCAGCTGCCCACCTGGGCGTCCGCAGGTGAGTGTGCCCATCCCCCTCCCGGTCCGCCTGGGGGCTCCCGCCTGGATGGGAGGCCCCGGGAGCACCCGGCCTAGCAAGATCGCTGCTCCACAGCCGCTGATCGGAAGTTAAATTTTAAGAGTCATTAAACCTTAAAATTGCCATGAGGGATCTTGACAGTTGTCCAGTGATGACTTCTTTTATGTTTTAAAAAGCCAGATATGAAAAACTTAAAAATACCTCTTCCCATCAGCTTTGGTTTTCCTGCTTTCCTGGTGTTTGAAGCATTCGATCCTTCATTCATTTAGTGTCCTGATAGCGAAGGGCTGCCCACTATGTGTTAGGGGCTGTTCCAGCAACAAAGCAGGCCGAGCCCCTTCTCGGCGGAGCCCCGGCCTGGCGGGGGCAGGGCATCCTGCAAGGGACAACCCAGTGGGAGTCTGTGCGAGAGGACGAGTGTGATGAGAGATGAAGGAGGGTGGGTGTGGGCAGGCCGCAGTGCTCAGCGAGGGTCAGTGGGGCGGTGAGGCGGGGACCAGGGCCTGGGGGAGTGGGGGTGGGCCGTGGGGTCTCTGGGAAAGCCGGGTCCCTTGCGGGGAGCAGCGGCACGCAGCTGGCAGCGGCCGGGGTTGAGGAACGCGGGGCGAGCACCGCTGGAGCCAGCGAGGGGCAGACAAGCAGGGCTTGGGACAGAGAAGGACTTGGGGTCACCCCGTCAGGCCTGTGGGGCACTGCGGGGAACTGGGGAGCCGTGGAGGGCTTTGAGCAGAGTAGGGGCACGGTTAGAGGGTCGCCGACAGGCGCCTGGGGAGAGGACACTTATGGGGAGACTGGTCCACCGGGGAGACTGTGGTGGCCCTGGCCGGGGTGGGCAGCACAGGGAGGGGGAGGTGGCTCTGTGGAGGCCCGCCGTGACTTGTGCTGCGGAAGAGTCCTGCTGTGCAGGCCCGCCGGGCCGCGGAGGGCCAGGCGCCGCGGGAGCCCTGGCGAGCTTCCTGCATCACGCAGAGAGGACTTGACTCACCGCCCCCTGGAGGCGTGAGGGCGGGTTTGGAGCGGAAGCAGCACTGACCCTAGGTGGTCAGCGCACATGGATTCGGCGGAGGAAAACATGGGCAGAAACATTAAACTTAGGAAGGGAGCGGGACGTCCTGGGCGCGGCTGAGTGGTCGGTTCTGGCGCAGGCCGCGCGCGCTCTTCCGTCAGTTTTCAGGCTTGTCCCGAGCCAGGTTAGAGCTGGGGTCCCTGGGCAGACAGTCTCCGCGGCCCGGGCAGCTCCCTAGCGGGGCTGAGCCAGGGGCTGTGGGGTGGGGCCAGCCACCCGTGTTTCCCCAGCCCTCCGGGGCTCCGGCGCCTGCGCCCACTGCGAATCCCCAGGGGCAGAGTCCTCCCTGGACGGGGCTGGGGCCAGCAGCACGGCTGGCGGGGGCGGCCCCTTGCCTTGTCTCTGGGCCACGTCCCTGGCTGCAGCTTCGGCCAGATTCAGCGATTACTGCTCGAATCACCGGCTCAGGGTGGCCCCTCCGCACTGGCGGCCTGAGCCCCGCTTTCTCTCTCCGCGTCGGGGTCCACAGACGAGTTCCTGGTGATTGGACCGTGGGAGCCCGTCGTGGCGGTGCTGGGTGGCGACGCCACGCTGCCCTGCTCGCTCTCCCCGGCCTCGAGTGCGGAGGACATGGAGCTGCGCTGGTTCCGCGGCAGGTTCTCGGACGCGGTGTTGGTCTACCGGAACCGCCGCGAGCAGAGCGCGGAGCTGATGGCCCAGTACGCAGGGCGGACCTCGCTGGTGACGGGCGGCCTCGCGCTCGGGGAGGCTGCGGTGCGCATCCGCCACGTCCGCGCTTCTGACCACGGAATGTACACCTGCTTCTTCAGAAAGGGAGCCTTCTACGAGGAGGCCACTTTGGAACTGAAGGTGGCAGGTTGGTGACTTGATCTGTGTTCTAGAGTCCTGGAGTGTCGGAGTGGGCGGGACCTCAGGGACCTCATTTTGAATAGTCCCTCGTTTTATAGATAAGTAGAAGGACACTCATTCACTCATTTATTTATTCAGTACAAATAAATTCAACACAAATAAATAAATTCAATGCAAATAAATAAATACATACAAATATATAGAGTCCCTGAAATATGCCAGGCCTGGAGAGCAGATCTGGGGACACAGAGAGTTTGGAGGGGCAAGGGGGGACTTCATAGAGTCCCAGGGGGTTGTTTTGACCACTTGTTTAGTGGTAGAAAGATTGCTAATTACGCATCAGTTTCCCGTTGCTGTGAAATGAATAGTTACAAAATCTCCGTGGCATATAGGAATAAACATTTGATTTAGGCATGAACTAATTCATTTGATTTAGGCATCAACTAATCTGGACTGGCCTTGGCTAATCTCAGCTGGGCTTACTCGTGTAGCTTTGGTCCGCTGAAGAGGTCACCATGTGGAGCATGGCCGGGTTTGTTTACATACCGGTGGTCAGTTGGATGTTGGCTAACGTACAACAGGTTCAGCTGGAAAGGCTGGGATGGCCAGGCCATGTTCTGTGAGTCCCATCCTCCAGTGGCCAGCCCAAGCTTGTCCTTCCTGTGGGATCAGCAGAGGGCAAGCCGTGGTGCCAGGGCCTTTCCAACCTCTACGTGAGTCACCCTTGCGAACCTCTGATTGGCCAAATCAAGTCACATGACTGAGCCCGACCCAGAGTGTGAAGCCACTAAGAAGGACGTGGCACAGGGTGAGCTGGGCATAAAGAAAGGTGAAGAACAGAGGATATTTTTGTATCAACGTACCGGATATGGGACAGAATTATGAACTCAGGTCTGGAATTTGAGTTTGAAGTGCATGGGAGGCATCGTGGCAGAGGCACGCCACAGAGATGCAGTTGTAAGGGAAGGAAGTTCTGTTGGGGGTTGTGGAGCTATGCAGGTTTGGAGGTGGTTCACAGAGAGAGGCAGAGGCCATGCAAAACGGTGTCCCGGGGGAGTGTGTGAGGTGGGGAGAGTGCAGGTGAAGGTGGGACCCGGGACCAAATTCCTCCTCTTCCTCTGAGCCTTTCTCCCTGGGTGGTTGCAGAGAACAGCCGACTGGCCTTGTGCTCCTTCCCTCTGTTCCCTGTGGCAGGGCCACTGCGTCACCCTTCCCGGGGGCGTCCTTCCCACAGGACCCCAGAATGAAACACGACTGGCTCCCCTTGGACTTGGGCGACACCTGGGCACTGCTGGTCCCGGTCCCGGTCCCACATGGCTTCCCTCTCGCAGGCGTGGGCTCTGCCCCCCACGTGCGCATCGACGGGCCAGAGGATGGCGGGGTCCGCGTGCTGTGCACGGCCTCGGGCTGGTTCCCGAAGCCTCAGGTGCAGTGGAGGGACGTCAGCGGAGAGAGGTTCCTGGGCTTCTCCGAGGCCCACGCCCAGGACGCCGAGGAGCTGTTCAGTGTGGAGGCGGCGCTGGTGGTGAGAGACAGCTCTGTGGGGAACGTGACCTGCTCCGTCCTCAACCCCGTCCTGGGCCAGGAGAAGGCCACGGCCGTTTTCATCCCAGGTCAGCGCCGCTCCTCGCTCCCAGCAGGGCTGGGGGCAGTGGTGTCCCTGAGTGTGCAGGGCCGCTGTCCGGCTGGGCCCCTGACCGGTCTCCGCTGGGCCACAGAGCCCTTCTTCCCGCAGGCCTCTCCCTGGAAGCCAGCGTTCGCTGTGACCATGGTCACGTTGGGTGTCCTGCTGTTCGGGGCTGGATATTTTATTCAGAGAGAACGCGCCACAAAGTTGCAGGAGCGGCAGGAAGGGGAGAAGCTGCGCCGGGAGAAGGAGGAGGACCGGAAGGCAAGGGAGCAGGCGCGGAAGGCAGGCGGTAAGGCAGGACGGCCAGGGCTGGCCAGGGCCGCAGCTCGTGCCCAGATCCGTGGGCAGCTCTAGCGACACCGGGCCCCAGGCCCAGCCAGGTGTCTGAGGAGGTGCAGAGAGGACGGCTGGAGCTGCGGCTCGGTGGCTCTGGGGCAGACCCCTCCTTAGGATGCAGCAGAGGGTTCCCGTGGGTTCTGCAGGCACGGGCCTCCCTTTCTCAGGGCCGGGAGCTCATGCTTTCTTTCATCTTTCAGATGAACTCCAGGCAGATCTCGGTAAGTTCTACTTTCCCTTTTGCACTCTCTGTGTCCCCTTTGTAAGACACGTTCTGGTTCTTCGCTTACCTGCCTCCTTGTGTTGCCTTTCAGAGAGGAGGAAGGACGCTTACATGGTGGGTGAGTGACTGTCCACATGTCCCTTGGCCCCTTGTCCCACCTACACCCAGGTATGCCCTCTCCTTATTTCTGTCAGGCACAGACATGTGGACCCCGTCCCTGGGGACAGAAGTGGAAGCTGGCTGGAGGTGGAACCCTGCTCATGGGCTCCCCGGGGCTGGGCAGCTGTTTCTTGCCCAGTGCTTGGGAACCCGCGTGGGACGGTGGCCCCTGGAGTCTGTTATGCATCCTGGGGCTGTTCCAACCCTGGGCTGTCCACCGTGTCGTCAGTTTCTTAGTCTTCAGTGCATCTAGCTCTCAGTCTGAACCTGAAAGCCCAAAGCCAGAAGCTCTGATATTCCATGAAATGAGCTATGTAAATAAAGTGGGTCATTAAGTTCAGGGGTGTGACCTCCTGCCTGCCCCTAACCCAAAACACCACGCAGTGGGCGCCAGGGATCGCGCCTGCAATTCTAGCACTTTGGGAGGATTCCTTGAGGCCAGGAGTTGAGACCAGCCTGAGCAGCATAGCAAGGCCCTGTGACAACAAAACACAACACGACACAACACGACACGACACGACACGACACAACACAACACGTCTAGGGAGCCCCCTGTGCAGCTCCTGAAGGTGCTGGTCCGAAATCGGAGCTCGGGCCACAGGTGGGAGCGAGCGGGGCGAGCTGGCCGCTCCCCAGAAGCTTCTCTTTAGAAACTGACTGTGAAAGGCTGGCCACCTTCGCCCAGATGTCACCTCACATCCTGTTCTCAAATCATTCCTCCTTTCTGGTCATTCCCAAATCTGCCAGAAAAAGCCTGGGTATAATAATGCTTTCTCACAATTATGAAGTAATGGAAGTTTTATTCCCTAAATATTTTCACACGTAGTATATACTATTTTATTCGTAGCAGCACAACTGAGCATAGAATGGGAATTTTTGAGGTCGTTGAGGCACAGACAGCCATTTGACAGCCCAAATCCACACAATAGCTGGACAACGTGCACGCAGACGGTGTGCAGGTTCCTGACCCGCGTCCAGGAGTTCCCACTGCACCTGCCAGCAGCCCCTCCCCTACGAGTCTCCCCTGGGGAACAAAGGGCGGCCAGAGCCGGTAGGATCACCCTGCGCAGGCTCGTTCTGGCTGAGGAGTCACTAGGGTGTGTTCCTTTTCAGCCTGGAGGAAGGCCCAGCTGTATGCAGGTAAGCGGCTCTGCTATTTCCTCTACCCGCACCCCCCCAACCCTGTCCTGTCTCTTCTCTGTCAGGGTCCCCACCCAGGATGGGATAAGTGTGCTGCTCTCTGTCAGGGGTCCCCACCCAGGATGGGATAGGTGTCCTCCTCTCTGTCAGGGTCCCCACCCAGGATGGGATAGGTGTCCTGCTCTCTGTCAGGGTCCCCACCCAGGATGGGATAGGTGTCCTCTTCTCT